AGGCGGAGCTGGACCGGGCCTCTTGAAGTGGGCGTGGCGAGCTCCCCAGGCCGTCTCGAGTCTCCTAGTTCCGCGAGGCTCGCGGGCGGGTCATGCTACGCACGCTTGGTACCCGTTTTGGCGCCCGGCTCCTCCCGGCCACACTGGGCCTGGGGCCCGGGCCAGGTCGGAAGGTGTCTGGGGCGCGCGGGCAGGGCTGGCTGCAGCCTGCAGGCCACGATACTGGCGTCAAGGTGTACAACAGCCTCACCCGAAGAAAGGACCCCTTAATCGTGGGCAGCGCGGACGCCGCCTCCTGGTAGCCTCCTGGGAATTGGGGGGAGAGGGGGGTGCTGGGGGTGATGGGACGGGAAGGACTGTGGACTGAGCGTTTTGGGGGTCGGTGGCTCTGTGTGGAAAGCAGGGTTGGGTTCTCAGTTGAAAATCATTTAGTAAGTAATAAAATATATGGGAGGCACCATTGAAGACACTGGTATGGTCACAGTGAATTGACAGGGTTTGGATATGAATTTAGAGATTCAAGTAATAGAACCCCAGCTATGCAGTCCCCAAAAGTGGTTACTTTAAAAAAAACAAAAAACGACATGGTTGGTTATATCATAATCGTAACTGAGAAAGTGGTGGCCTTTCTTGCAGGTGATGGATTTTAACTTTGTTCCTAGGTATAGTTGTGGACCAACTGTCTATGATCATGCACACCTTGGCCATGCTTGGTGAGTGTCCTGAATTTGAATTTTCAATCGTTTATTTTGGAAAGAAAAAGCCTTTTGCAGGTTTTTTCCATCTCTCAAGTGGTTACTTATGAATACTGAATAATCATTATATCCCAGGTATTATGGGAAGCGCACATGTTATAGTCTCATTTGGTTTTTCTAACAATTCTGACTGATTTCACAGGTAAAGCACTTCAAGGAGGCAGTGAGGAACAGTGAAAATGACCTGTTTTGGAATAACATGTTTCTTGATGGTTTAGTGAGAGGCTTTCCAGGGGTCCTGGAGTCAGCTGGTCAGGGGTTATTTCTGGCTCCCACCATTTATTTACTTCCCAATTTTGGACAAGTCACTTTTTTATTTTGCTTCCTGGTTTACTCGTCTTTGAGATGGGGATGATAACAGTATCCATCTTTTTGAATCTTCATAGTTTTACAAGATAATGCCTGTACAGCGCTGCTTAACACAGTACCTGAAGATGTGGTGAGGGCTCTACAATTATTGAGGATAAGTAATGTACCAGAGGCCACATTTAGAAAGTGTTGGAACTGGGTTGGAGCCTAGAGTGTGTCTGAGCTCTGTGCTTGCACTCTCGATATCAACCATGAGCTGCACTGATTTCCACATTTGTCAGAATTGCCACTTTTCCTAATATTTTGTATGTTCTTTTACATCTTTTAAACTTGTGACATCAAGACTGAAAGTAAAAAGTTATCTTTATTTACAATAGTACACATTTAAAGAAATTATATATCACTCAGCAAGATCTAAACTTTATTGTGTTTTGTTATAACAAAATAAATGGTCTAGGAATCATTTTTTTCCTTCACTTTTGGCTAACTTACCATTATAAAAAGCACATATTGACTCTTTATTGAAATATAAAATATGTTGGTGAAATATTAAAAATAATAATCTCCAAAACTGAAAAACGTCTCTACAAAGGCAGAAGAGAAAACAATTTTTTTTATTGAATATGTATTAAACCATTATGGGATGCACATTACGGCAACCACTAAAAAGATTGCAAAAACAGAAAGAAATCACACTCTTCTATGGAGCTAAGTGGATACAACTCACTAATTTAGGCAGGGTTTGCAATTTGGAGTCAGGTGACAAGCTAGGCTCATCTCCTATTGGTGATAGAGCATTATTGTCCTTGATGACTTCATTTCAAAGAGGTGGCTCCTAGGCCCTTGAAACTTTCCTGAGTTGTGAGACTTACAGAGGCTTATTTAGCCATTAAAAAGATTTACATACATTTTAAAAGGACTGAGGATGAAATTCTGAAAGAAAGGGGGAGTGGGAGAGAGTCTTTTCTCATGTTTAACTATTAGGTTGTCAGAAAAGTCATGATGCATTTTTGCAACGAAAAACATAGAAAAAAGACGTCATGACTTTTCTGACAACCCAATAGAATCAAGCCTCTAAGTTATAGTTTTTATTTGCCCTTACAAATACAGAAAAGAGTACAAATCTTAAGTGTACAGATGAATGGTTGTTCGTGGCTCTTCAATGGAAAAACAGAACGTTACCGACACCCCAGAAGCCTCCTCTATGTCCCCCTTCATCACTCCCTTCCCTCACTCCCCCACTCAAGGATAACCACTATGGAAGTCTTCATGGTGAGATAAAACCCATTCCTCAAGAAGAGCCAATTCAATTTAAGACTCCTCTGAGAGGTAGAAAACATAGTACTATAAGATATCTAAAGAAGTTGGGAGGTGTTGGGGGGCAGGGATGGTCAGGCATGGCTCTACTATTCTTAGGTAAAGTTCAAAATCCTAAGGACATCTCTGTGGTTTGCAGGTCTGTCCTACTTACTCTCCAGGTTCTTGTCTCCTCACTTTCCTCCCCAGGTAGCCATACCACCCTCTATTTTAAAAAAACACAAAACATATACTTAACAAGCACAGATAACACTTGCTATGTGCCAGGCACTGTTCTAAATGCTTTACAAATATCAGCCAATATAATCCTCCTAGCAACACCAGGTGGCAGTGCTATATCATTATCCCCAAATTACAAATGGGTATAGTGCGATACCCAGGGATACAGAGGGCTAATGGGACCAGCCTCAGGGTCCACAGTGGGGAGTGATGAACCAGGAAGATGGGCTGTGTTCTCTGCTCCTTTTACCAGGCATCTCACATAGTTCACATGGAATGGCCCCTGGGGGAGCAGCCCGCCCGCAGTATCTGCCTTGCTGACCTTGAGCTTCTCTGGGCCAAGGAGCTCACTTTTGTTTTCACTTTGTTTTAGGTTCCTGTTAACTTTTTCTCTTAAATCTCATGTCTTGTAGAGTCTGTCCCAACTCAAGATGAATGGAGGGCATAGTGATGATAATGGTGATAATAGCGCGTGCTGCTTGGAATTCTTGTTGCACAGGCACTAAGATTATGTACAACAACTTTATGGGGTATTGGAATTTTGCCCAATTTATAAATAAGCAGCCTGAGACATCAAAAGGTGAAATATCTTGGCAAGGAGTTTCAGAGGGAGTTTTATCACTAAAATTGAGAGATTTGGCCTCAGCTGTATGAGTGTGGGAGGGTCAAGGGATACAATTATGAGGCTCGTTTTCAAGGGAAAATGATTTTATTTTATGAATTCAGATTTACAGAGGCCGTATGGCTGACAGAGGTGAGCATGAGATTAGCTATCTTAACTTTTAATGTTACTTTTATGGGAAACCAGATTCTTGAGATTTTGAATGGATCTTAATAGATTTTAAAACCTTTTGGTTTTACAAATCTGAATTACCCCAATGTAGTCTATCAATAAGCTGGTGTTGTAATATTCCACAGCAGTGTGCATATTTCTTAGTAGTAATCTTATACAGCTTTAATAGGATTGTACTTTCCTTGATTTGTAATTATTTGCATCTCTTTTGTCAGAGTGAAACATTATAGTTATTCTAGAACATGAATAACAATGCTAAAAGCTCTCAGTATTTTAACTAAGTAGTAAGATCGGATTATGAGTACATTTTATTATTATTTTTTAAAGATTTTTATTGGGGAATTGGGGGATGGGAACAGTGCTGGGGAATTGGGTGAAGGGGAACAGACAAGTTGCTGTCATTTTTGTTCTTCAGTCTAGTTGTGGAGGACGTTGCTTCACTGGCCCAAGTTGGCACCATCGTTGCGCTCTACCCGGATGAGGCAGATCGGTCGCTGGCTTCTGGACGGCCGCTCACGGCAGCTGCTGGCCACTCACGCTGGCTGCTGGCTACACACGGTAGCCCATGGCAACCCACTGCAGCAGGGGCTGCAGCCCAGCTCCAGGTTGAGCTGTTGTTCAGCATCTTAGCTGTAGAGGGCAGTGTCACTGGCCCTCATATGTGGGATCTAAACCCCGGGCCCTCTGGCGTCCCAAGCCAGCTCTTAACCAATGCAACCACTCAGCCGGCCCACGAGTACATTTTTATACAATTAAATACGATAGATATAAACTCACTAAAACAACAGCTCTAAAGTTAAAAATGCTCACATTGTATCCTGAAATTGAGGCAGGACCTTTGTTGTCAATTTCTTGTGTAGACCAATGTGGACCAGTTAGTAAAAAGCTTTTCTTTTTCTAGCTGCATTTGAACTATTAATTATATCACACACTTGAAGTTAGGCAGCAGCATGTAAAATGTAATGCACTACCTTTTAAAGATCACAATGATGACTTTCAGAATTAAAATGCCCTAACATTTTTTTTTTTCTTTCAGCTCATATGTTAGATTTGATATAATTCGAAGGATCCTAACCAGGGTTTTTGGATGCAACATCATCATGGTGATGGGAATTACAGATGTGGATGATAAGATAATTAAAAGGGCTAATGAGGTAAGTCTCGAAGATTATATTGATTGACAACTTGATTAATTAGTGTTCTGATCCCTATGTGCCAGTTTTTCTTATTTGTATTTCACAAGTACTTTTCCCTTCTTATTGTCTATGCATGGCCCAATGAGTTTACTCTGGTAGATAATCAGAGAGATCTTTTTGTCCTGGTAAAGGAAGTTCAGGTCTATTTGATTTTGGTCCCTGAAGCCTTTAATAAATCTCATTCTGTGGTGGTCCTCTGAGTTGAATCTGTAATCCTTTCCTTGGCCTCTCAGCCCCAAGGAAATTTAACTCATGTGAGGTTTAATTTTCTCATTTGTTACGTGAACAGGGTACTTCTTTTATATCTCACATGACGTTTAAAGGAAGTTTTGGGGAGAACTCTAATGAGGGATTAAACTAGTAGTTATTTAAATAGTTATATTTTTAAAAGTCTACTTTCAAAGCTTTACCTCTTCTGCTTTTTTATAATTAGCAACTTTAACCATCATTTATAAAGAGCTATAAGTAATTGTTAAATTATTTAATTTATAGAAAACCTACATTGAGTGCTTTACATTCCAGTAATTTTACAAAATGTATGTGCATGTATATAGTATTTTTTTAGAAAACTAGTTTATACTTTATATTGTTTTATAGTCTGTTTTTGGTACTTACTGTCTTTTGAGTGTTTTTTCGTGTTTTTAAATATTCTTTTTTTTTTTCTAAGATTTTTATTGGGGAATTGGGGGATGGGAACAGTGCTGGGGAATTGAGGGAAGGGGAACAGACAAGTTGCTGTTTTTTTGTTCTTCAGTCTAGTTGTGGAGGACGTTGCTTCATTGGCCCAAGTTGGCACCATCATTGCGCTCTTCCCTGGCGAGGCAGATCAGTCGCCGGCTTCTGGACGGCCGCTCACTGCGGCTGCTGGCCGCTCACGCTGGCTGCTGGCTACACACGGTAGCCCATGGCAACCCACTGCAGCAGGGGCTGCAGCCTCTGCCCTCACCGGCGACTCACAGCAACCCAGCTCCAGGTTGAGCTGCTGTTCAGCATCTTAGCTGTAGAGGGCAGTGTCACTGGCCCTCATATGTGGGATCCGAACCGGGGCCCTCTGGCGTCCCAAGCCAGCTCTTAACCAACGCGCCACTCGGCCGGCCCTAAATATTCTTGAACATTTTTAAATAGCCTTACAACATTCCATCACATGGACATATTATAATTTACTATCTTTGTTTTTGGACTTTTAGGTTACTTCCATATTCTGCTATTTTCTCTTAAATTTATTTTATAGAAACCACATCTTCCTATTTTCTACCAATTTGCCTTTTTAATAACTAGATAGCATTCCACTGTGGGTGGCTATTTAGCAGTTCCCCTAGATCCCTCGTCATTGACTATTTGTAGTGTTCCTAGCTGTTAAAAATGATGCGGTTATGAATATCTTTTTTGTTTCCTTTAATATTTTTCCCAAAGTGGAATTACTAGGTTAAAAGAGGAGCAGTTTATTTGATAAGTTTGTCACTGTCTGTAGGGTTGGATCATTTCAGAGAGAGGTTACTAGCAGTGCTAAAAATCGGTTCCAACTTCACACGTATTTCTTCATGTGCTTGTCACATTGAACTGGGGTTTCCCATTTCAATTTTGTTTGGGTAGCTTAGTCAGTGGATTGTGTTCCTTTCTGGTAGACTCAATTTTCATTTCCAGAACTATCCTTGAGCATGCATTGAACAGTCCAGGGTCAGGCCTGTGCCTGGCTTCCTGTGAACACAGGCGAGGAAGACAGTTCCTGCCTTTTGGAGCTTGTGTCCAGTGAGGCAAATGGACCCACAGACAGATGCTCTATGTGTGACATAGATTATAAACCCAGATGGAGGGATACAAAGATCACCCAGCCTCCCTGGAATTCAGAAATGGCCTATTGGCGGAGGTTAGCCCACACAGGATCTTAAGCCTTAGGAAGGGATGACACATATAGAGTAAGAGCGGTAAGGACATTCTGGGTGAAGGGAAGGGCGTGAGGGAGGCAAAAAAGGGGCATAAAGGAATGTGTTCTGTCTGAGAACCAATCAGTCCAGTGTCTGGAACATCTGAGAGGCTGACTGGTGATGCTAGAAGAATAGTGGGCCTGGATGGCATATTGAGGATTTAGACATTGTTCCGTAGGCTCTCAGGACATTCTAGCACATGATCAGCTTGGTCCAGTGGAAAGGGCTTGCTCTGGGGGTGGGGCGGACATGACTAGAGACAGGGCCACTGGGAGAGGTCAGTGGGAGCCGTAAACTGAGAGAGGGCATGTCTCAGAGCAGACTTCATGAGAGAGCGAGTTTGAGGGACATAAAGAAACCCAAACCGATATGAATGTAGAAATGTGAAGTTCAGCAAGCTCAAGGCTGTGGTATAATAGAAAATATATATTTGGTCTTTGTCCGTGGTTCCTGGCCCAGAGCTTCTAAAACCATGGAATCTCTGGAGTGATAGAGTGTCTTCTGTATGCTAATGAGATGACTGGTGTCTGGGGCCCCTGGATGGCTGCAGGATGGAGGGCTGGTGCCAGAAGGACCAAGCCACGAATAGAGCTGGGAACGTCCACTCCCACCCCATCCCCCTACCTCCACCTCCTAGGAGGGAAGAGAGGCCTAAGGGAGTTGATCATCAAGAGGCAATGATTTAATCAACCTTCTCAAATAATGAAGCCTCCATAAAAACCCTCGAATGGCAGAGCTCTAGAGCTTGTGGCTGGTAAACACAGGGTGGTGCTGGGGGGGTTGGTTGCATGCCCAGAAAGAGCGTGGTAGTTCCACTCCTTCTCGTCTTGTCCATCTGACAACTGTTCTTGAGTTGTGTCCTTTATACTAATCTGGTAACAATAAGTAGAGTGCTTTCCTGAGTTCTGTGACTCATTCTATCAACCCTCCAAATTTGTAGTCAGTGGGCAGAAGTGTAGGTGGCCTGGGGACCATTATTTGCAGCTGGTGTCTGAAGTGGGGGCAGTCTTGTGGGACTGATCTCCTAACTTGTGGAGTCTGTGCTAACTCCAGAAGTTGGTATCAGAAGAGGATTAAATTGTAGGACACCCAACTAGAGTTGGAGAATCGGAGAAGTGTTTGGTGTCAGAAGACACTGCAGAGCTAGAAATGAAGATGGGCAGTTCTAGCATGTGGGGTTCATCACCCCATCCCTGGTTCTCCATGACGGTTTGGTCAAGCCTTCGTCAACATTCGATTCTGTCTCTGCCCCATGTCCAGTCCCCCACCTGTGTTTGCTGTCATTAGGGTGTCCACCCTAGTCCAGCCCCTTAAGGCCCTGGAGGTGAGGTTGTGATGTATTAACATGGCCACAGGAACGAGTGAGGGGCAAATCTGGAGGGACTGGAAGGGGAGGTGGTGATGGGAAGCCAGAGAGCCTGCTCTGTGTCTGCAACATCTGACCTCATATCACCCTGTCGGGTGTGGTGCGTTATCCCCCTTCACACAGGAGGAGATGAGGGTCTGAGATTGAAGTCGACCTCCCTGGCTGGATTTGGAGTGGAAATGACAGGAAGAAATTAGTGATCTCTGATGTAGTGAGGGAACAAGCAGTTTGAAGTGACACCACAGCAGAGGTGGCATTTGGAAATATAGGTTTGTAAGAAGGAAGGTGAGCAGGTCAGTGTTTCATCTGTCATCGCACTCAGCTGGAACCCAAGATAACGCAGTTGTGTCCCTGCCCTTGGTGAATTGGGGTCTGCTCAGAATCTTCAAAATCAGAGGCAGAAATGTTGACCCAAGTGTTGCGGAGGCGTGGCTGGTGGGAGGCGGGAGACGGGTCGGACCCTGGGGTGAGCCCTGTGAAGAAGAACAGGGGAAGTGGGAGACTGGAAGGAGAACGGGGAGGATGTCCTGGGAGGGGGCAGGCGGGAGTGTGGGTGGTCAGTGGAGTGGTGAAGAGCCAGGAGTTCAGGGAGGGGCGAGTTTCAGGAAGGAGGGGGTGACGGGCAGCAGTCAATGCAGGAAGGAGGAGGAGTGATTTAGAAGATTTCAGAATACCACCGGGAGGCATTGGTTGTTACTTTAAAATTTTTTTATAATACTTAGAATATGAGAAAGTTGGTAGAACTGGTTTAAAGATCCTAAATATAGACTGTTTAATTTTGGCACCTGGAAATTTCCATATTTGTTACACAACAAGATGCTAATATGGCATTGAATAGTTTTTTTGTTCTCAAAATAGTGTCTTTCTTTAAGATGATAAACCACATATCTGAAAAACAGTTATGGAAACATTTATTTATTTTTTTAAAAGCTAGCAAAAAGGCTATCTTTTTATCTAATGCAGGCTTTTTTAATGATGGTGATATCCTTCACGCCATCTTCCCCAACACTTGCTTTTGAAATATTTTAAATTATGATACTATACTTGCCTGAATCACTCCCTTGACTTTAATTTTTGGCACAGTTTTTTATAGTTTGTCAGAGATAAAAACCACAGGAGGATTTTTGGGATAAGAATTAATAAGAGGCATGGTATATTTGCATAGTCACAATTTAAGTTAAGAACGATCATAATGTGTCAGAGTGATTCAGGCCAAAGTTATTCTTCTTTGGCTTCAGAACACTGGCCTACATCACCCTTCTTTCCGGGAAGAAGGCTGGACACTCAGCCTGAGCCGAGGGCCCAACCAGCAGGGTCTCCTGCCGGGGGGAGAACTGACTTGAAATGATATACTCATATGAGAATAAAGGAGAGCTAGACATTAATCTGAATTAATAAGGACTAGGACCCCATTTCAGCACCTCCCTCCTATAGTTTGTTTTGTGGAAAGTGAGAGCGAGCAATGCTACCCTGATATGTGGTTTGATCAGCTGCTTAAATATTAAATTTAAAAGTTTAACTTTTTGAATATGGTTCCCTCCTGGCCCCAAGGCCAGCAATAGATGGTATTCCTCTTACAATTCGTTGTCACTCATCAGCATTTCTGAACCATGTCCTCTAGGGTTGCGCCATTGCGAGCTGGAGAAGCCACATGTGGCACAGGGACTTGCTTGTGTGGATAGCGCTGTACTTTGTAAGTCATTTAAAAGAGTGTGTGTGTGTGCACGTGCATATGCCCATATTATCCCCCCTTTTTGGAACTAGATACATTGATTCCGAAGTTCACGTGGGATGGCAAAAAAGCAAGAATAGCTAGGAAAAGTCTGTAAAAGAAGAAGATTAAGGAGTAGCCCTACCAAAGATTAAAACATATTTTAAAAAATATAGAAAATTTTTTTCATAAGGCTTTTTTTTGGACAGCTCTGTTGAAGTAGAACAGACCCACAATAAATTGCACACAGGCACACAACATGATAAAACTTGCACATCTGTGAACCCGTCACCAGTGGGGATGGTGAACATTTCCATCCATCGCCCGGAGAGTTATTTCCTCTGCCTCTTGTCATCTCTCCTTCCCTCCTTCCCTGTGCCTTGTCCCAGGCAAACGCCAATCTGCTTTTTTTAAAAAGGTTTTATTGGGGAACTGGGGAAGGGGAACAGCCAAGTTGTTGTCCTTTGGTCTTACTTGTGGAGGGCGCAGCTAGCTCAGCTCCAAGTCCAGTCGCCATCCGGCCGCCTGTCGGCAGCTCACAGCCGCTCAGCTCAAGGTGCCGTGTTCAATCTTAGTTGTGGGTGGGTATAGCCCACCATCCCATGTGGGAGTTGAACCAGCAGCCTTGTTGTTAGGAGCATGTGCTCTCACCAGCTGAGCTATCCTGCCACCTGTTGGCAGCTCAGTGGCAGCTCAGCTTCGACGCAGCGTCCCTGGCCCATGTGGGAATCTAACCAGCAACCCTGTTGCTCAGAGCTTGCGCTCTTAACCAACTGAGCCACTCGGCTGGACCCAATCTGCTTTTTGTCTCTGTGAAGGTTGTGAAAGTAAATGTTATGCAGATACATGAATAGATAGATAATAGAACACACTAGAAAGTCCAGAAATAGACACAATAACTAATGGAAATTTGTTTTGTGATAAATATGGCATTTCAAATCAATGGGGAACAGATGAATTATTCAGTAAAAAGTGTTGACAGTTGGGTAACCATCTGGGGAGGAAAAAAAAAACAAACCAAAATTGGATATATGCCTCACAACCAAATTTGAGGCAGATCAGAGATTTAATGTAAAGGAAATGAAACCACAAATTACTAAAAGAACCTTGGGGCACTTTTTATAGCCTCATATTGAAGAAGGCTTTCCTAAGTTTGTTTTCAGACCCAGAAGCCATTTATGGGAAAAGGTTGAGAAATATAAAAGATTGCTAAATATAAAAATGCAATTTTCTACATGCCATAAAGTAACCATAAAGTTGAAACACTTAAAAAAGCATATTGAAATTCCTATCAGAGACAAAAGGTTAATTTCTTTTCTATAAAAATACTTCCTACAAATCAGTAAGACAACATCTATAACTCAATAGGAACATAGGTAAGGATAATTACACATCGTTTAGTACACATAGTTCCTAAATGTGTGAGATATTCAAGCTCACTCAAAAAAGACAGGCACACATTAAAATTACAATGAGAAAGCATCATTTAGCTGTCCTGTTGACAAAGTCTACAAGTTTGCTAGCCCTGTGCAGGTAAGGGCCTGGGCTGTAGGTACTCCTGTGCACTGCAGGTCAGGTTCAAGTTGGTACACCTTCCATGGTAGGCAGTGGGCAGTAGCCAGCAAACAGTCTCTGACCAGCGGTTTCATATCTACGTCTATAGCTTAGAAATGTATTTGTCCCTGTGGGAAGTGACGTGTGTGTCACAGCAAAAGATGGGACGGTAACTGGAGAGGACTGGTGAATAGTTTATGATACGTCTGTGGGACGGAATGCAGGCAGCCTTTGAAAGGAAGGTGGCTCAGCACGATCTTCAGTCTTCGTGGGCAGTTCTGGAACATTGTTAGCAGAGGAAGCCAGGTGCAGGCCGTGTGTGGAGGAGGCTGCATTTCAAGAAGAAAATGCAAATGCGCGTGTGACCACAGTCATGTCATACTTCTGAGACAACTGGAGACAGTGTTTGCCTTCTGGGAGGGAGGCCAGTCCTGGGCACCCTTTATGTCATTTGAGTTCCCTGGGAGTGAGTTTCCTATGCAGAAAGCGAAAATTACAGATAAATAAATACAAGCAATCTGCTGACCTTTAGGTCTAAATTGCATAGTATTTGAAACTTCTGAAGTGGAAGATGACACTGAATTTTTAGCTTTTTTGTTTGGTTAGGCTTTTGTCCTCTGGACAGATGTAAGTTAACTGGTTTCTTTTTTAGGACATCTGCTTTGCCATCATGCTACACCACAGGAAAAGGACTAATACGTACTGATCACCAGCTGTGTCTGGATGCAGGGTGTTCTCTCTCTCTAATAGCGATTTAATATCGTATTTTCCATTCACAGCATTGACTTTCACATTGCACACTGAATCCTCATAGCAATCTAAGGGACCCTTAGGTGGGATTATCTTCATGTTGCAAAGAAAGCCTAAGGCACAGAGATTCATTGTCTTGCCCAAGACGACACAGCCAAAAAGATGCTTGGGCAGCAATGCTTTATTTACCAGATGTATTGGGTTGTCGGAAAAGTCATGACGCATTTTTGTAACGAAAAACAAAAAAATATGTCATGACTTTTCTGACAACCCAATATTTCTTCAGTAAATGTTCACTGGTCATGGTTTCTAGGATGATTGCATTTTAGGACCCTGGGCTGGGAAGAACATGGGTTTCATGGTGACAGTGTTCAAGGAGGTGTTTCACTTGAGAAAGTCTCTTACTATTCCAGAGCCAAAATCTCCTCAACACAAAACGGGAGCCCTGTCTCTCAGGGTTGGGGAGGAGCAGGGAAGGGGAGTGCCCCACACAGAGCAGGTGCTACAGATGCTGGTGAGTTCAGGGGCTCATGGGTCACTTCCCAGGCTCAACCGTTACAAAGCCAGCTTTGGTTTCAGAACGTCACAGTGTGTCGTACTTCTGTCCTGGGGTGGTTTTTCTGCTAGACGTAAGGAATACTTTTGTGAGCCTAATTTTGTGTGCCAGCCCCCTCTGAGCATGTGAAGCTGCAGGTATGTTCCCCCAAATGCCTTACATTCAGAATTCCATGTCCATTTGTGCGGGTTTTGTCCGTCCCCAGGAGTCCAGCCATGGGGTTGAACACCCATCACAATCCCCATTTTCATGTACTATATTGCTTTCAAATATTTCTAAGAGATTTCCTCTTTAATGTATTGGTGACCTGCCACCTGACGGGTAAGGGATAAGGTAGGACTCAAGTTACTGGTTATTATGTAGAACAGATTGATTTGACTTGCACTGGTTCTAGAAAAGTGGAGGTTTTGTTTTGTTTTGTTTTGTTTTTGGTATATTTCATTTTTTGTTTTGAATTATGTAACGGAAATCATGAATTGTTTATTCCTTTTTCCTCTCTAACCAGAAAACAGGGTTGACAAACCTTTTTGAGTAGCTAAGCTACTAGAATAAGGTCGATACCTAAAATTAAATACTTTTTGTGAGTGGGCTGTGCCACAGTGAGGCCAGACCATGGTGGGCCATTATGGCTGGGCCCTCCCGGCCCTGGAAGCCGGCCATGCCTCTGTATGGTTCTGTTGCGAATACTCCCGACTTCCTAATATGCTCACCTAATATTTTTGCAGATGAACATATCACCCGCTTCTCTCGCCAATCTTTATGAAGAAGATTTTAAACAAGATATGGCAGCCTTGAAGGTAAAGCCTGTTGTTGATTTTTCTTGCCATGCTGATAAGAAGTTTGAACAGTGAAAGCCGCTTGTGGCTGACCTACACTTTTGAACTGTGGAAACAGTCACCTCCTCTTTGCTTTCTTTCAGGTTCTCCCACCCACTGTGTACTTGAGGGTAACTGAAAATATTCCTCAGATAATTTCCTTTATTGAAGGAATAATTGCTAATGGGCATGCTTATTCAACAGGAAAAGGTAGGGGTTATATTATGAAAACTGATCATTGGGTCATACTGATAGGACTTTGAGAAACTGGACACACATTGGTGGGTTGTTGGAAAATTCCCAATGTCTTGCTGTCTTTTTCTACACTGAAAATGATGTGAGGTTTACTCACAGTGGTTGTGTCTTTGCAAAATGGTTGCATCAGTTCTTTTTAAAAATATTTTCCATAGTCACAGGAAGAGATGGCTGACCATCTGGAGAGCTGGTCTCGATAAGGCAGATATGGTACAAAGCTACAACTGTTGGATATAGATGTGCAGGTGTTCACTGGAGTCCTCTTTCAACTGTTCACAATTTTTCATAACTAAACGTCGGGGACAGTGGCAGTACAAACACCACTCCCTTGTTAACGACTAGCCCTCAGATGTTCATCTCCTCATATGGGCATGTTGTCTTTTGGTGGACCAGTGAAAGAAAGCTGCAAACATCCTGACACTCCTGGTCCTTGACACTTTAACATGCATCTCTAAATAAAAGACATCACCCAATGACGCAACCCCAGTGTCATGATCAGACCTGAGATGCTGGACAGTTCCCTAATAGCATCCCCTATCCTCTGCATATTTGCATTTACTCAGTTGGCCCCCACCACCCCACATTGTAATGTAATTCAGGACACTCACTGCATGTGGTTGTGTCCCTTGGGTCTCTTTACCACATTCTAACTTTGTTCCCCTCACTATGGACTTGAGACTGACAGGGCCAGTTATCTTACAGAATGCCCCGTCTTCTGGATAAGAGGGATTGCTTCCTTCTGGTAGAGTTTAGTTGGCTTAGGAGCTGCTGCTTTTTGTTTGCTGGCCTCAGGGAAAGATTGGCATCCTGGCGTTTCGCTGCTTCTGTGATTCAGCGTTGTTTTCTGCCGTACCTCCGCTCCGGTCATTGTTCCCAAATCTAAATCCTGCCCATCCCACAAACCCTGACCAAGGTTTTCTCTCTCCCAGGAAATTTCCTTGACCATCCGTAGCTGAAAGTGAACTTTCCTTATCAGCTTTGATATCTGTGCTGTAGCATTTGGTAGCTAATCATATGCTGCCTCAGCCTGTTGTTAATGTGTTATATTTTGTCAGCCGTTGGACCAGAAAGACCTTTTGCTTTTAGTGATAAACTGATTAGTAATGTTATGAGGTGCTTAGAGATTCTCATTTGAACATGCTTTAGGAATCAGTGCTGTTTGGTTTTTCACTATACTTTATCATAAATTTTAAATAATGATAACATAAATATAATTAATTTTAAATAAATGTCATTAACTGAAACTCCATTAATTTGGACTTCGTGATAGTTTCACAAAGCTTGGTTGTAATTTGACCTTTGAACTATTTGTGAAGAAACAATTTGTCCAGCAAATTGATAAAATAAACAAAGGTACAGGAAAATGTTTCTTCAATGAAATAGAGCAGTTTCTTTCTCTTTTAAAGCATTTTCAGGTGCCGTTTACATTCTGACTTAATAGAAAGCAGCTCCCACAGTACTCTCCCATTTTCCCAGTTTATCTCAGCTTGTAATGAGAGCTCAGTAATAAACTCTGAATGAAGAGACAGACGCTGAGGGAGACAGGGCAGAACCAAGTCACCGGAGGTCCCTGTTTCCCAGCAGCCCCCCCGTGGGCTGGGGTCAGACTCTCTTCTTGCAAGAGCTCCGGCTCTGACACAGCCTCCCCTTCTCTGCCTCTTTATACTTCATAGATGGGAGTGGCAAGGGCTGGCCCTGGCCCTGCAGTGACCCCGTGGTGAAGGTCATCTTGCACTCAGTCTAAAAAGGCGGGCGGTATGCACTTCAGTGAAAGGGCAGCCACAGGGATGCCTGAGTGTGAAGATGTTTGTAACCTAAGTGAAAAAGACAGGCTTAGAGCATATCTGGTTAGGAAAGGATTTCTTTGCTGATTGGTGTATAACATGAAGCCCAGAGCTGAAGGCAGGCCAATGATAACACTCACTTGATCTTTTCTTACTAAAAAGAATTGCTTTAATATTTGACAGAGACCTTACACTTGTGTTTTTACTTCTACATCTGGATGTATCCAAATGAATGCTTCTAAAAAATAGTAGTGGTGGTGTTAATTCTGATTTCAAAATGTAATGAAAGGGGCCAAATGAAGGCCAGATGCCATATTCTGTGTTTAAATTCTAAAGACTTTTTAGCTATTAAGCTATATAGATGCTGATATTTAATTATGAAATCGTAATTATCTTTATAAAACAGGCAACGTCTACTTTGATCTGCAGTCGAGAGGAGACAAGTACGGCAAGCTCGTCGGTGTGACCCCCGGTCCTGTGGCAGAGCCAGGTGGGTTGCCCCTTGGCCCCCCCGTCTCGGCTTCGGGGGGCTGAAGCACAGACCTGGCTTCTGCTTTTCCAGTGTTCATTCGAGACCCCCACTCTCTCAGAAGTGGTGATTGTGCCAAGCTGTTGATGATCACAGTGTGTTTTAAATTTAATTGTTTTTTCAAATAGAGAAACCATGTAGAGTATGAAGCTCACACAGCATGGGACACGCCTCCTTTCCGTGCCTGCCTGGTCCTCTAGCTCTTCTCCCTGGAGACAGCACATTGGCCCATTCTTGTGGTTCCTTCCAGAGACAGTCTCTGCACATGAAACATAAATACATGGTGTCATGTGTTAACACTCTTCTCCATCTTGCTGTTATCATTTATTAAATTCCCAAAGTATTTTTCCATATACTGAATTCCCATAGATGCTTTATCATCCATTAAATTCCCATATAAGTTTTACCATACATTAGGCTCCCATATGTATTTTATCATATGCTATATTCCCAATGTGTTTGAGTCTATTCCTATACTCTCTTCTGTTCCAGTGGTTTGTTAGATCAAAGTCATTTTATGAAGAAGAAATAAAAATAAGTATGCAGAATTAAACTAAAAATTATTTTAAAAGGATACTATTGAAGAGAACCAAGCAAAAGCCCCAAAGAAAAATTGTTCAAGATATTTGTCTTTAGGCATAATCCTCCTTCCCGATAAACTGTGCTGTTCATTGGACTCCTCAGAGATGGTGTTTGTTACTTTCACCCAGTCAGTAGTATCCTGCTCCCCTCCTGAAAGGCTGGAACAGAAGACTAGAGCATCCCTGCCTGTGAGATGTGGCCTGTGCCTTACGGAGTCAGAGGAGGAGTTTCTCAGACTTACACCTTCTACCGTCAGCAACATTTTTTTTTTTTAATGGACTTCCATTTTTTTAGAGCAGTTTTAGATTCACAGCAAAAGTCCCACTTACACCCTTCCCTCAGACATGCACAGACTTCCCCACTATCACCATCTCCAGAATGGGACATTTGTCACAAGTGATGAGCCTACACTGACACATCATTATCACCCAGAGTCCATCGTTTACACTAGGGTTCACTCTTGGTGTTGTACATTCTGTGGGTTTGGACAAATGTGTAATGATATGTATCCACCATTGTGGTATCATACAGAGTAGTTTCACTGCCCCAAAAATTCTCTGTGCTCCTCCTATTCATCCCTGTTCCCCCCCCCCCTCAATATTCCTGGCAACCACTGAGCTTTTTACTGTCTCCATAGTTTTGCTTTTCCAGAATGTCATGTAGTTGGGACCATATAGTATGTGGTCTTTTCAGATTGGCTTCTTTCACTTACTCATGGCTTAATAGCTTTTTTCTTCTTAGTGCTGAATAATATTCCACTGTCCGGACGTACCATGGATTATTTACCCATTAACAAGGTTTGGGATGTAAGGAGAGCCCAGTACTGGCACTCTGTATGATCAACAATAACCTAACCTTCCCTTCTGAGCTCCCTTACTCTGTGAATGTGATTGATGCTCTGGTAATTTTCCTTTTCGCTCTGTATGATTTTTTTTAACATGACTCTGAAACTCAGTTATTGATAAGTACAGCTTTCTCATGAGACAGAATAAGGAAGAATGAGACTGTTCAGTTCAGTACGCCCCTCAGAAGGAAGCATCACTGTGTGTGTATTTGAAATCTTGGCTCATTCATTATTCATACTGAAACAGGCCTCACTGCTGATAAACCTCCTGCTTCTGGCATACCACCTCAGGGTGGTAAAGTATTTAGTAGTCCCAGCCGTCATGTAGGGAAAGAGTAAAACATACGAATAGGAAATGTGAGGTCACTTAAAAGAAGGAACAGAATTTTTGGGAAGCACTTCCTGCATCTCACCTTTGTGGCAATTTTGGGCTGGTTTGTCCATTCTAGGTCCTCTCCCATTGATCCCCCATGTGTCATTGGCAGGTGACTCTGACAAGCGGCATGCCAGCGACTTTGCCCTTTGGAAGGCAGCTAAACCCCAGGAAATTTTTTGGGCCTCTCCGTGGGGAAACGGAAGACCTGGCTGGCATATTGAATGTTCTACCATCTCAAGGTAAGGTTTTTCAGGATTCTTCTGTGTTTGTGTTGATGTGAAGGCTCGAGCAATGCCTGACTTGGTCAGCAGAGGGCGTAGATGGGGCAAGTTTGGTATGGGCACCAGTGTCCACACAGCAGGTGGTTTGGGAAGAAAGCTCACTTAGTGCTCCACTCTGGTGGGTCTGGCTGTAAGAAGGGAAACAAAACAAACTTGGCATGTTTGTCTTTCTAGCATCAGCACTTGGTATTGTTTTTTAGTAGAAAAGCCTGCTTTACAGTTCAGTTCATGATTTCCCATCACCTATAAGCCAGTTCCAGCCTGCCTTCATCTCTCTGCCAAGTGGGTTTGGGAAACACCAACCCTGCGGCTGGGCCTGGGCAGAGGCCAAGCCCTAGGGACAGGGGACTGAACCGGCTTCCGCAGACCATCACCCCAATGCTGGTCCTTGATGAGATCCCATCAAGCGTCACTTCCAGTTTCCACGTGTCTGGCTCCTCGGTCATCGATCTGCCCATTCCACCAGCTCTCCATCTCAGGCAACACTGTGTTTGGGACGCTTCTGTCTTAAGAATCTCCACAAACGCAGGTCCATCTCTGATCCTGACCCCTCCAGCGACTCTCTTTTTTGTCTGCTTTTCCTTCTCACCATCTACATGTGACTTGCTATGCCTGGCACCCCTACTGCCTCTGGTTTCCTGAGGTCACTGATGACCTGGTCAGTGCCAGGCAGCTGATGCCCTGCTCCTTCCTTGGCCTCTGTGAAGCACCTTTCTTCTGGTATCGGCATCCACCTTCTTTTTGATCACCTCTGCAGACCATGCCTTTGGCACTTCCCATTCCCTGTGGGCAGATGCCCGTGTGTGTGTGTGTGTGTGTGTGTGTGTGTGTGTGTGTGTGTGTGTGACAGAAGGCAGCAGACCCCATGTGCTGTCCTGTTCTGTCCCTTCCCCCTTTGCAGTCGATCTCAGGAATTCCCTTGTGCCTTTTGTCTTCATCATTTGCCTCCCGGCTTCATGGTGCTGTACTGTGTGGCTAGACCATCATCCATTAGCCAGTACCCTGTGAGGGAGAAGCATGTGCTTGTTTTCAATATTTTGCTCTCTCAAATGCCCGCAGTGAATAACGTTGTGTGTGTATTTCCTGTTTGTGGAGGTGAGGGGTTTCTAGTTTTAGAATAGCATAGATTTTGATATATTTGATGTGTTTCAGTTCATTTCAGATATTTATTATATTAAGTAGTTTTTAAAATTAGACACATAAAGAACGTATGCTTAAGGTGAACATTTCAAGCTACTAGCTACACCCCACATTTTAAGATCAGTAAACCCAGTCACCCTCACATTGGTTGTGGTGCTGTTTTCTGGCTGGGTATGAACGTAGCTTTAGGAGGGGTCATTATGTCCTATAAGAGCACTCTGCTCTGAGATCCATTTATTTTATTCATTGAATAAAGGCTGGAAAGATTAAATATAACATGTGGCTTAGAGAATTGTGTTGTTTGAATTAATCCACAGCTCTGCACTGTGTTTTTTTCTTTTTTCTTTTCCTGCACCGTCTCTTGCAGTTTGGTATTTGGAAGTCAACTGGATATCCATTCAGGTGGAATAGATCTAGCTTTTCCACATCATGAAAATGAAATTGCACAGTGTGAGGTCTTTCATCAGTGCAAGCAATGGGGAAATTACTTTCTACATTCTGGTAAGTAATGACTTCAAATTAATTTGTTCCATTTCAGTTCTGTCAATATCATTTTTATTGGTGAAACAACTACATTTGGAAATACATAGATCAGCTAAAAGGTCAAGTAACAGAGTTGTCTTTTAATATGTTTTTGAATTTTGGTCAGTTGGACATGAACTTCTTGAATAGAAATGAGTCTCCCTTTTTGGATCTGAAATATGAGCTAACAAGAATATGGATAATGTTTTACAATGCTGTTCTATATAAGTTTCTTTCAAATAAAACTATTTAGAAGGAATTTCAAATAGTATGATGTAATCATTATTATGAACATGCCTGTTTTGACTTCTAATATTGTCACTATGTATATATCTGTCATCCTCTAATAATACTACCTCCTATTTCACTATTCAGAAAACGTAGTTGGCTAACACCAGCCAGGTGTTCTCAGAAGTAGAAGAAGAAGTGAAACAAGCTGCATCTTGAGCATAGCGATTTTGGAATTTCCCATGATGCACAGGAAAATTCATATGTCCAAATTTCGACAAAGGTCATGGGGCCACAATAAACTGGTTTAATTACCTTTATAGAATGGACAGTTTAAGGTAATTGGGTTGAAGAAAGATAAAGGGTATTTGGTAGTGATAGGTTTGGGAGATGCAGATAGTCAATATGTAAAACTGTGCATTAACAAATACCATTTGAGTCTATGAACTAAGGAAATTAGTTTTTTTCTAGTGAAGTAATATTACATGCAGAGACACTCCAGTTTTTTGTTTGTTTGTTCTTTAAAGATTTTTTATTGGGGAATCGAGGAGGGGGTAACAGCCAAGTTTTTGTCATTCAGTCTTAGTTGTGGAGGGTGCAGCTAGCTCAGCTCCAAGTCCAATCGCCATCTGGCCGCCCATTGGCAGCTCACAGCTGCTCAGCTCAAGGTGTCATGCTCAATCTTAGTTGCAAGTGGGTGTAGCCCACCATCCCATGCGGGAGTTGAACCAGCAACCTTGTTAGGAGCACGTGCTCTCACCAGCTGAGCCATCCTGCCACCTGTTGGCAGCTCAGCAGTGGCTCAGCTTGCGTGCAGCTCACTGGCCCATGTGGGAATCGAACCAGTGACCCTGTTGCTCAGCGCTCGCGCTCTTAACCACCTGAGCCACTTGGCCAGCCCCAAGATACTCCAGTTTTATAATATACATATAGTAGCCTGCTTAAAGTTTGAAGTAAGAGTTCAGAGGGTTTCTTCACGGCAGTAAACCGATGAGGCTACTGCCCCTAAGAGCTCTTTACTCCCAGGCTCTCCCAGGAGTCACCCCCATTGTCACTGTGCGTGCCTTCAGGGTGCCCCAGGAACCAGCATCTCCTTTCTCTGTGATGACTCATTTCTGTACTGCCTTAAAGTAATCTGAAAAGAAACAAAGCTGCCTGAATTCCTGTTTATGGTGTATGTTATTTAGTATTCTCCTTCATTTCCCTGGGTAGAACTCAACAGTAGCCAAAATCCACTTTATTTCTGCCAGTGATGTGCCTTGCTGGGTAGACTCCCTAAGTAGAGGGATAAAAACCCGATGATCCTGATTCCATTTTCAGCTGGTGCTCACAGGGGAAGGGCAGGTGGGCACTGGCCGGCAGGTAGAATGCATCAGAAATGACTCCGCAGGGACCCAGCCTATTTCCACAGCCAGGTGCCCACACTTCACTTCCAAAATCATGGGAAATAAAGTCTCTCCCCTTTGGTGTGAGGACTTGTGAGAGTAACACACACTTAGCGCGTAAACATGCACAGAGCCTACCTGGGGAGGAAATCTTTGAGGTCTGAAGAGCTGTGTCTCAGTGAAGGAGGTATGCCTGTCCTCCATCTCAGATTCTAGAACAAATCCTCACCATATTTACCATTTGGGAAGTTAGAGCTTGGTTCCTCTGCAGACACTTCATTGGTTAACGCTCTTGCTCTTGTTGAGTCACAGTTGGTAGCAAATGCCGTGATAGGCATTGTGCCCCTTAGTGAACTATGGATCTAGGGATCAAAAAGGTAACTCTGAGCAGTATGAACGCTCACACTTCTTTGACCTCTGTCAGTTAATAACGAGGAGTTTGGTGCCCATAAAACAGCAGGTCTTAATTAGGGAACAGGAGAGGGGTTCTGTCCTGACTTTTACCATCTAGTGAGGCACCTGGATCTTTTTCGTTCCACTTTTGCCCTGCCCTGTCCTGAAGAAACAGCAGTGCCTCCAGACACACAGGAGAATTCGTACTTTTTAAAAAAAATTACATTTAGGGCCGGCCGAGTGGCACATTGGTTAAGAGCTGGCTTGGGACGCCAGAGGGCCCCGGTTCGGATCCCACATATGNGAACAGACAAGTTGCTGTCCTTTTGTTCTTCAGTCTAGTTGTGGAGGACATCGCTTCACTGGCCCATGTTGGTATTATGATCATTGTGCTCTTCCTGGCTGAGGCAGATCGGCCGCCGGCCATTGGTCGACCACTCACAGTGGCTCATGCTGGCTGTGGGAAGCTCATGCTGGCTGCCGGCCACTCACCCTGGCTGCCAGCCACTCATGGTAGCTTAAGGCAGCACACTGCAGCCTACGCCGTCACTGGCGACTCACGGCAGCCCAGCTCCAGGTTGAGCTGTTGCTCACCATCTTAGCTGTAGAGGACGCAGCGCCACTGTTCCTCATGTGGGATCCAGACCAGCGCCCTGCCACTCAGAGCTGGCGTCCCAAGCCAACGTCCAACCAATGCGCCACTCGGCTGGCCCTGCAGAAGCTTTTTAGTTTCATGTAGTCTCACTTTTCCCCTACATTATTATTATTAGCAAATAGTCCATAGAAACTGAGTGCTAGCAAAAGGTTAGATTCCATATTTCTTTCTGAACTACCATAACTCCATGGGAGCACCCCTAAAGTGCTGAAAAAAATACTCTAGTGTTGCTGGGGTTTGAAGAACTATTAACTTAGATTTATGCATACACACTGATGTTAATCTGAATGAGTCCAGATTCTGAATGGGAGGAAAAACCCTTTAAAATTAAGCTGCCTAAAAGAATAAAAACAGAAAAGCCACCTAAAATCCTTTCTGGAGTAGAGAACATAGCTACTCAGAAAGATATACTAAAACAGAAGAGAGATTTCTTTTAGAAAAACCAAAGAACTTCATCAGACAGAATATCCATAATATTGCAGTTTTTAAATTTTATAACTAAATGCACAAATATGAATAGAAAGTTAACAGTAGGAAAAGATATCAGATTCATAGAAAGCACAAACAGGCAGAGAACTGATGCAGGAGTATTTGTTTCTCTGTAATAGATGGTCAGGCAAGCCAGCTACGCCAGAGGAATAGCCGACAGCAGTCAGATGAGAAAATGTATAGCCTTTCCTTTGGTTGAAAACAACTCCAGGGCCGGCCGAGTGGCGCGTTGGTTAAGAGCTGGCTTGGGATGTCAAAGGGCCCCGGTTTGGATCCCACATATGAGGGCCAGTGACACTGCCCTCTACAGCTAAGATGCTGAATAACAGCTCAACCTGGAGTTAGGCTGCCATGAGTTGCCGTCGATGGCATAGGCTGCAGCCACTGGGTTGCCATGGGCTATTGTGTGTATCCAGCAGCCAGTTTGAGCGGCCAGCAGCCAGCGTGAGTGGCCAGAAGCTGCTGTGAGCAGCCATCCAGAAGCCGGAGACTGATATGCCTCATCTGGGAAGAGCGCAATGATAATACCAACATGGGCCAGAGAAGCAACGTCCTCCACAACTAGACTGAAGAATAAAAGGACAGCAACTTGTGTGTTCCCCTTCCCCCAATTCCCCAGCGCTGTTCCCATCCCCTAATTCCCCAATAAAAATCTTTTTAAAAAACCCAACTCCATACCCATACGTACCAAACAATTGACAATTTACAAAATGCAAAACAAACCAACAACAATTAAAATACAAACAAAAAATGAATGCTCACCTAAAGTAGGCATGGCAATTGGAAAAATAGGTCTCCTGATACGTTGTTTGCCAGAAACAGGAAAGCAGCTTATAATTATAAGCTATAAAGCAGTTGAGTCTATGCTTTTGGGAAAGAAGTCCGAAAAAATACAGTCCCCATCGCCTTCCACCCTCCACCCCAAACTGTGGTTTTGCTTTCTGAAGTTTAAGTTACCTGTGGTCAGCTGCAGTCCAAAAATATTAAATGGGAAATTCCAGAAGTAATCAGCTCATAAGTTTGAAGTTGTGTGCCATTTTGAGTAGCGTGGTGAAATCTCGCACTGTCCCACTCCATCCTGCCTGGGTTGTGGATCATTCACGCTGGACACGCTCCCCGCCTGTTAGTCACTTAGCAGCCGTCTCAGTTCTCAGATCCACTGTGGCGGTATCACAGTGCTTATGTTCACGTCACCCTTATCTTAGCAATGCCACATTCATGTAACTTTTATTACAGTACTTTGTTATAATTACTGTTTTATTAATCTCTTGCGGTGCCTAACTTATAAAGTTTATCATAGGTATGTATGGATGTATAGGAGAAAACATTGTGTTTGTATGGCTTGGGACTATCCGTGGTTTCAGGCATCCACTGGGTGTCTTAGAATGTATCGCCCGTGGATAAGGGGGGACTACTGTAATTCAAAAACAAGGGAAAAAGTCAGAGGGTGGCTGGAAAGGCCATCTACATGCTGTTGAGCAGTCATCTGTGCGTCCTTCTCTGCTCTCTAGGTGTAAACTCAGGCCCGCATTCTTGGGCTGCATGTTTACTGGGGTCCTTTGGGGCAGAGCCAGACCCAGAAACTGAGATAAGTCAGTGACTGCTGCAAGGCAGGGCCCTTTGCAAGTAACCACTCAGAGAGGCATTATTCAAATTAGCTAGAACTAGAAAGTCCTCTGAAGGACCACAGTGGGGAAATGACCCAGCAAATAAGACACCAGGATTTATTATGGGGAAAAAAGCATGGGATCTAGAGCTGGAGTGCGGCCTCTGACTTAGTGGTTTGGTTTTCAGTGCCCTAAGCTGCTTTTTTTTGTCATCATAATAGGGTAGATAGTAATTATAATGTATACATCTTAGCATTTTGTAAATGATAAAGCCTTAGATAACAATCTTATTTTTATGGTTTTACTGTTTGTGGTTACATTGCATTTAGTGTCATGTTTCCGCACGGGTCCTTGGAGATTGGAACATGAAGTAGCATGAAATGAAGAAAAGCAGGACACATGACTACATGGATGCATTATTTAATAACAGCAAAACCATACNGTGTTTATTTTATATGATACATTACATAGAATTACATATTCAAGGTGATATTTCTTTTTCAAAGTCACATTTTAACCATTTCTCAGAAAAATTTGCCTTGGAGCCAGTTTTTGTGTTTGAAGTCATGTAAAAAAAAAAGCAGAAAAATCTGTTAGGAAAGGAAAGGGCCTCCCTTTGACGTGAGCCTTGTAAAAATACAGCCCAGGAAGAATTCCAGGCTCACACTGAGAAGTTCTTGCGGTGGGTTTGGTTTTCCTCTGGCCTTTCATATATATGGGTGACATAATACCAAGGTCTTGTCCATCTGTGGAGCTGGGTGTACCTGACGCCTTAGAACAAGCGCAGCTGTGGGGTCCATCTTCCTGAAGGGTCAAACGCGGGTGATGATTTGGGGGAAATCTTATATCCACATGCGCGTGGGTATTTGCATATTGGCAAACGCTGCGTTGATTGTTCCCTTGGTGTCCCTGCAGTGGCCTCCGTCCCAGCCCTGTGGTTCAGGCATCTGTTGGAGAAGCGCACACTTCGCCTTCTTCCCCTTACAAATGGGATGGAGGAGCCCCTCTCTTCCCACCCAGTTCAGAAGTAATGATTTTGGTTTTTGTTGCAGGGCATTTACACGTGAAAGGCAAAGAGAAAATGTCCAAATCACTGAAAAACTACGTTACTATTAAGGTAATGTGCTCTTCATAGCTCCTGCATTGCTGTGAGCTTTCTGAACCTGTCTTAAAGGCTGATGTGTAATATGAGACCCTAAACCTCTGATTCCCAGTGTTCTCTAACCCCTTTCCTTGTGGCCCTAACGGGATCCTCCTACTTCTGGGTTTAAATTACTCTCTTTTGTCTTAAAAGCATGCAGTGGAATTTCCCTATTCCTCACCCCATGCATCCCTCCTGCTCTGTGTTCTGTTGACTTTCTTAGTGGACTCCTGTCTTTCTCTTTGCATTCCAAGATTCACACTTTCTTCCCATTTCCGTTTATAACAACTTTATTTCTTAAGTCACATGTGCCAGATTCCTTCCTGCTTTTTTTCTTGTCCCACCACCAGCCTCCTATCTAGTGTAGTTTTGGGGTTTGTTTGTTTGATTGGTTTTTGTTGCATGCTGGCTTCTTAACCTACCTGAAAAATTCTGTGCTGTGGAGATGAAGAATGGAATGTATATTTCCATATAAATGGAAAACAAGCTCACTAGTAGGAGAACACTTTTAGAAACAGCTTGATCTTTCTTTGTCTTTGGGTCTGTAAAGTCTAACTTAATTTTATTGCAAATTGAATTGACAAGGATAGTGATCAGAACTTCATTAGGTAAATACCCAGCCACTGAGGCTATTCCCACCAGATTTAGAATAAAGCAAAATGACGTGTTCCTCACAAAATGTTCTTTATATACTTTTCATAAATGTAAATGTACAATACTATCTTATACAAACTTTCAAACATACAAAAAGCTAAATAAACACTTATATACTTACCACATAGATTTAAGAGTTGTAATCGTGCTATTGATGCTGCTATATGATCTATATTTATGGGAGCAGTGAGTATATTTGTGTATCTGTTTATGTGTGTGTATATATGTACATATTGTTATTGTTGAACCATTAGAACATATGTTGCACTCATCATGGCATTTCTCTATTCTGCGTACAACTCCTAAATGTAAGGATGCTTTCCTTCGTCACCCAAACACCTAAAAAGTTAGCAATAATTTCTTGTATTATCAGTTATCTAGTTCATAGTTTGATTTCTCCATTTGTCCCAATGTCTTTTATAGCTTATTTTTAAACCAGGATCCAATCAAGGGTCATGTGTTGCATTTGAATGCTCTACCTTCTTACGCTTATTATTATTATTATTTTTAGTTTTTAATAGCAGTAAGAAACACATAGCATAAAATTTACCATGTTAACCATTTTTATGTGTAGAGCTCAGTAATATTAACTGTGTTCACATTGTTAGGTAGCAGATCTCCAGAACTTTTTCATCTTGCACAACCGAAACTATAACCATTAAATAACTCCCCATTTCCTCCTCCCCTGCCCCCTGGCAGCCACCATTCTACTCTCGATTTCCATCATTTTGACTATATCTGTGGGATCATACAGTATTTGTCCTTTTGTGACAGGCTTATTTCACTTAGCACCATGTCCTCACAGTTCATCAGTGTTGTTGCATGTGACAGGATTTCATTTTTTAAGGCTGAATAATATTCCACTATTTTTTTTTTAGGCTTCTAATCTACAACAGTCTCTACTTTTTTCCTCCCTATGTCATTGACTTTTTCAAGAGACAAGGGCAGTTTTGTTGAATGTCCCATGTTTTGGATTTGTGTGTTTATTAGTGGAATCATTTAACTTATTCTTCTATGTCCCTATTTCTTATAATGGCAAGTGAGGTCTCAAGGCTGATTCAATTCAGATTAAACCTGTTTGGTGGGAACACTTCATTGGTGGTGCTGTGGACTTCACACTGCATCCTTCTGGGGCCACAGCGTCAGGCCGTCCTGTCCGACTTAGTGATGTTAAGTTTGATCACTTGGCTGGGGGATGGCCCCCAGATCTCTCTGCTGTAGAGATGTTTACTTCCTTTTGGTGAATGTTAAGAGACTGCAAGGTGATATGCCCTGTGGGTATCTTGTTCTCTACGACCTTTCGCCCTGCAATTTTAGCATTCTCACCTTTGTTGTGCATTTTGGTGGTTCTTACAGCGTAGTGCTTGCACCCTTCTGTGGTTCCTTTTACATTTACTAGTTAGCATTCCTCTTTAAAAGAAGGGTTTGTTGTCTGTCGCTGTGTTTTTTCAGTATCACTAGGGAGTTAAGGATTTATATCTGTGTAGTATCAAGTCAGTCAGTATTTATTTGTGTGCTGAAATTATTCCAGATTTGTCCAGAGAGGGCTCCTGCGTCGCAGGGATAGGCCTCATGTGTGTCCCTGCTTTCAGCCCTGTTTACCTTTTGCATCCTGCCCAGACCTGCCATTTTGCCAAAGGAGCCTCGCTGCCTTTATGGGGAAATGGAATTCTGGGCCACGGTCTGGGCACTCGGTATGTTTGTTGCTGCTCAAAGTGACATCACTTTTAAGCCTCTACAGGGTACAGAGCTGGGGGAGGAAATAAACCCATACTCGTGAAGTAGATAGTTTGAGTTCATTAAAAAATATCAAAGGTAAAATTTGATAATACAAGACCTTTGTGTTAGCTCTTTTTTCTTCTTTTTAAAGATTTTATTGGGAAATCGGGAAGGGGAACAGATAAGTTGTTGTCCCTTTGCTCCTCAGTTCAACTGTGGAGGACGTTGCCTCACTGGCCCATTGTTGGCACTGCGATCACTGCACCCCCTCCCTGCTGGAGTAGATTGGCCACCGGCCATTGGTTGGCCATCTACAGCAGCCCACGGCAGCCAATGCCGGCTGCCAGTCGCCCACGCTGGCTGCCGGCCTCCCACAGTAGCCTACGGCAGCCCACTGCAGACCCCCTGCAGCCCATGCAGCCGCTGGTGACCCATGGCAGTCCAGCTCCAGGTCGAGCTGTTTTCCACCATCTTAGCTGTAGAGGGCGCAGCGCCACTGGCCCACTTGAGATCCAAACCGGCGGCTCTGCCTCTCAGAGCCAGCACTCCCAAGCCAACTCCCAACCAACGAGCCACTCGGCCAGCCCTAATTTTTTTTTCTTTTACTAAAAATCTTGTTTCTTTATAACAGCATATCAACCTTATGCTTTATCTAAAAATAGACACAAAATAAATTTTAAAATGTAATACCAGTATTCTTATTAACAGTAAAACTATTGAGTAAAGTTTAAGAAATTCTTTTTTTAATAATAGCTTTATTGAAATGTAATTTAAATACCAGAGAATTAACCCTTTTACATTGTATTATTCAGTGGTTCTTAGGATATTCACAGAATTGTACAACCTTTACCACTGTCTAAACAACATTTTCATCACCCCAGAAAGAAACTCCACATCCTAACAGTCATTTCTCATTCCTTGTCCCCCCACTCCTTGGTGACCACTAATCTAATTTCAGTTTCTGCAGATTTGCCTGTTCTGGGCTTGCTTTTCTTCTACTCTTAGACTATATCCCTCAGACGTTATAGGGTCAGAATATACACGAGCAGTCACAGTTGAATTATTTTCCTTAAGTGGTGTCCGTTTGCTACACAGAAGCTCATTTGTTCAGTTTGTTTCCACCTGGATGGTGTCTTCCCCCTTTCTGATTTGCCTTTATTTTTTTAACTATGTCAAACATTGTTAGATTCAGTAATTAACACTCTGAAGAGACGCTTAGACCTTGATCCTTTCTTGCACCCATTATACCCATCTCTATGGTAACTGTTAGGTTTGTTTCTGGGTTATCTTTCCAGGGTTTTATGTTACAAAAATAAGCCATCTGTATAGGAATTCTTACTTTCTCCTCCTTCTTACACGTGAAGCAGTATATGGTATATCCGGTAGTGCATGCACTGGCTTCCCCCCACTAACAATTTAAGTAGTGTTTTAATCTGATTATAGAGAAGGAATGTAGTGCATTGCAGATAGTTTGAAAAGTACAGACAAGACAAAGAAGCACCGAAGAGGAAATTTAGAGGTACAAATATGGGAAGCATGTTTCCTTCCCAACTGCTGCCCAGTTTTTCTCTCCTGGAGCAGCTGTTAGTCTCTTAGCAGTCAAAGTGTGTATGTGTGTGTGTGTTGTGTGTGTGTGTGTGTGTGTGTGTGTGTGTGTGTGTGTGTGTGTGTTTACATGTCTCTAGAAACATGTTTCTCATTTTTTTCTTTGCACAGAAGTGGTAGCACTCTTTTGCACTTGATTTATTCACTTATGAGTCTTTCAGATTAGTCAGTTTTCTTCCATATGGAGTTTTGAACGGCTGAGTCGCCCATTATATGGGTGTACCTCAGTTAATTTAAACAATGCCCCATTAATGGTCACTTAAATTATATCAATTTTTCTACTAGAGTATGTGCATTTAAAATGTTCAGACATTTCAAAGTCTGCATTACTTCTCAGGACCGCTCAGTGGCCCATAGCGGTGCTATAGGACTGAGTTACTTCCCTACGCTGGACGTTTTAGGAGACCTGCGTTCTCTAGCCTCCAATACTGTGATGAGGAGCCATTACTAACCCACCCAGGGATTAGTAACATAGGGGAGGTGCACCTCAGAGGACATGTACACATGCAGAATATTCTGGATACGCCTCTGGTAAGTTAGCGGCACATGTCACAGACTTTCCCACCAGCAGTGTATGAAAGTGTCCGTTTCCCTCATCCACTTCCAACTTAGAAGAATCCTAATCAGGTTGACATTTTCCTTGTTAATTTGGTGAAAAATGACAAGTAGATTTTAAATGTCCATTTCTTTCTTTCTTTAGTTATTTATTTTATTTTATTTTTAAGATTTTTATTGGGGAATTGGGGGATGGGAACAGTGTTGGGGAATTGGGGGAAGGGGAACAGACAAGTTGCTATCCTTTTGTTCTTCAGTCTAGTTGTGGAGGACGTTGCTTCACTAGCCCAAGCTGGTACCATCATTGTGCTCTTCCTGGGCGAGGCAGATCAGTCACTGGCTTCTGGACGGCTGCTCACAGCGGCTGCTGCCCGATCACGCTGACTGCTGGCTACACACGGTAGCCCATGGCAACCCACTGCAGCAGGGGCTGCAGCCTACGC